CCCCCCCCGCCGGATTGGTTTTCTCTTCCAGACTGATTTTCTCTTTGGCGTGAGGGATGGTGAGGTGAGGATGGTGGATGACAGCAATTGACAGTTTCAGCTTACCTCATCATAGCCAGTGATCCAAAACATGGTAGCAAGCTATTTAAAATTTTGGAGATATACTTTGATTTTTCCCAGGTTGGATAGCATTCTATCCCTGAGCTGATCAGGAGAGCAGTTCTCCTGAAGAAAGGGAAAATTTTTCAGAAAGGAAGGGTGTAGGGAGTAGGTGAGGAAAGCCAGTTATTGAGAATACAAAGTAACAGATGTCCATTGCACTATAATTGAATGTGAGTAGCAAGAGAAGTCTGATTTAAACTAACAGAGTAAAATTCAAAATTAGCCTATAAGTCTTCATTGGCTTTAACTAGAGATTTTAATTCCTATTTGATGCCTTTGCTGGTTTGAGTTGCTATTACAGGCTTTGGGGGTTTTTGTTTTGTTTTTAATGCTACCCATTTGTGTTTGACATTGTGTTGCTGCTAGTTTGATCAGATGTACATAGCACCAATCCATTTCCATCACTTGTGTGGACATTTTATTCCATCAACATTTGGAAATTAGAATTTTCCTACTGGGGGAAGATGCTTCAAACATGAAGACTATTTAAATAAAAACTGGCTTTAAAAAAACCTTTAGGGATCTGTACTTCACTACAAAATATTCTTTCCACTTCAGTCATTGAAAACTAAAGTATGTATGCATATGTTCTTTAAAATGAACTATAAATGCTTTTCATGCAGAGTGGTGGACTGCACTCATTTTGAGCTTTCAAACCAAATGCATCCTTAAGCCTTTGACAAGCTACCGCACAACTCTAATATTTCCAATTTTATTTTATCACCAGATAAAGTACCAAATTTCCTTAGGCTGACATTTGGTACTCTCCATGAATTGGTCCAACCTAATTTTACAGTTTTCTCACTTGTTCACTTGCTTTCTTTCTTTTTACCCTTTGCTTCAGTCACACAAAACAATAGAAAGGTCCAATTTCATTTTTCTGCATGTGGATATCTAGTTTTCCCGGCACCGTTTAATGAAGAGACTGTCTTTTCACCATTGCATCTTGGTGGCCTTGTCAAAGAAGGTTGACATTATATGCATGAATTTATTTCTGGGCTCTATTTCTGCTCCATTGGTCTATTTTTATGTGAGTACAACACTGTTTTGATTATTATAGCTTTGTAATAGTTTGAAATCAGGAAGTGTGATGCCTCCAGCTTTGTTCCTCTTGAGATTGCTTTGGTTATGTAGGGTCTGTTTGTGGTTGCATATGAATTTTTGGATTGTTTTTTCTACTTCTGAGGGAAAATGCCAGCAGAATTTTGAAAAGGATTGCATTGAATCTGTAGGTCACTTCGGTTAGTATGGATGTTTAAATGTTATCTTTCCATTTATTTGCATCCTCTTCACCTCTCTTTCATCAATGTCTTTAGATTTCAGCACACAGATTTTTCACCTCTTTGGTTAAATTTATTCATAAGTATGTTATTATTTTTATGCTATTGTAAGTGGTGGTGTTTTTTTTCCTTTTCTGATAGTTTATTCTTAGTGTATAGAATTGTAACTGATCTTTGTATGCTGATTTTTTATCTCGTGACTTTACTGCATCCTTTTATTCTAACAGTTTTTGGTGGAGTCTTTTGGGTTTTTTATATATTAGATCATGTCATTTGCAAATAGACTGTTTTACTACTTCTGCTCTGGTTTGGATGCCTTTTATTTCATTTTTTAAATTTTTTTATGTTGGGGCCTAATTGCTTTGGCTAGACTTCTAGTAGTATGTTTAATAAAAGGGAGAGTGGGCACCCTTGTCTTGTTCCTGATCTTAGAGGAAAAAATTTCAGCTTTTCATTGTTGAGTATCATGTGCACTTGTCATATGTGGCCTATTATGTTAAGATGCATTCCTTCTATGCCTAATTTGTTGAGAGTTTTTATCATGAAAGGATATTAAATTTTGTCAAATGCCTTTTCTGCATCTATTGAGATGATTATATGATTTTTATTCAT